ACATTTATAATAATAATATGAGCCGAATATAGATTAGAAATTTTTCGAATTTTGAGTAAGTAACGGTATAAGATTTATAATAATAAAAAATTCTGAGTACGATACATCTAGTTCTACTAGTTAAAGGTTAAAATGATGGCCTCAAACGAACAATATTTAATAAAAAAGAATATTTATTTGAAACAAAGAACATTATTAATAATGAATATAACAATAGTATAACAATAAATAATAAAAATAATAATAAAAAAAAATATTAAAAGCAATAATCAATAATTTTAATATTTTTTTTTTTAATTATAAATTTTTAATAATAATTTTAATAATAATTTGTTTTTTTTTCTTTTTTTTTAATAAATTTTTATCCTAAAAATAATTCTGTTTTTTGTTATACATTTTTTATTATTATTTAATAATTAATTAATTAATTTATTTATTTCTAAAATTTTCTAAAGTTTTTGGTTACATAATATTTTTTTTCTTTATTATTTATTTATTATTTTTTTGTTTTTGTTGTTTTTACATTTTATGCTTTCCAAACTATTTTATTTATTTACAAACATCACCTATTAAATAATTTTTATTTGATTTTTCTTTTTTGTTGTTTTTATTTATAAATTATACAATACTGTTTTTAGCTCTCATAACTGTTGTTCTCTTTTTTACCGTTTATTATTTTCTCTTTCTCTTTTCGGTTAATCTCTCTTGACATTTTGAATATAATAATATATTAATAGTTTTATTTTTAAAAATAGTAATTTTTTATTGTAGAATAATAATGAAATATTCGATATGCAAATATTTATTTAAATTAAATTTGTAAAGAATGTTGTAATAAAAGTAATTTGAAGTACCGTCCAAGTTGTCTAAATTTGAAATTGTACGAAATTATTTTCAAAACAATCCAAAATTTAACAAAGAATTTTTCTCGGATGTTTTTTTATAGGTTTTCCTAAAAAATGTGTACCATGTTCCGAAAAAATTGAAGCAATTTCTGATTTGAAAAATCAGAGAAATTTTGGTACCAAAAAAAAAAAATTTTACCACTTTCATATAAGAAAGTTTGGAAATCCAACATGGAATTCGCAACATTTTCTCTCCTATATGGAAAATTTTCTCCGGAATCCAATTAGAAATCTTACAATTTATTAATTTACGATTAATAAATTGGGCGAAAAAATTCATATAAAAATTATTATTCTTTTTTTTTATTCTTGTTTTAAGCTTTCCCGTATTTCAGTTATTTTTTCCTGTATCATTAAGTTTTTATAAAATCTAGATAGTTTTTAATTTTTATCAACAATATTGAATAAATTCAGGGTCTTTACTATATAATTGGTTTTCCATATTTGGAAAAATGATAATTTACAAACCAATTAATTTGTGTAGTACTACCATTCCATTTCTGTAAATACGAAAATCGAAACAGTTAGTAAGACCCTAGAAAACAAAATTTCTAAATATTAAAGTTAAATATTAATTTACGGTATCAACTATGTTGTTAATTTTAATTGTGAGAAACTTATTTAAGATGGATTTCTTTGAAATATTTCAAAATTTTAAGAAATTATGAATAGTAACAATAGTGAGTGCGAAAGCTATTTGAAAGTACCATGAGGCAGGTTTAGTTTGCTGTTTGGTCACGACGATAATATTTGGTTTTCTGTTGGACTGAAAGAATTTAAATTTTTAATATTTAACCTAGTACATGCTATATATCGTATATTTCTTAAAGGAAACTAAAATTTTTAAATGAACTAAATTAAAATATTTTATTAATTTGAAAAAAATTAAAATTATTAATAAAATTAATCCTTGAATATTTTAATATTATAATGGAATTTCTTGGCTAGATTATATGTTTAATATATTGCATAACTATAATATACTTTTTGGCGTTTTTAATTATTATTTCTATATAAATAACAATCTTAAGAAAATAAAATTAATATAGCCTTAAAAATTTTCTTATTAAACAAAATAACCTTAGGTATTTGCTTTTAAATTCTTTAATATAATAATCTTCTTTAGATATTATTGCATAATTTGTATTTATCGTAAAATATTAATAATATTTTAATAAAGATTCGGACTAGAGGATTGTTTGCTAAAAAATTAAATAAATATCTTAAATATTATATAATATTCTTTAAGTTCTAAAATTTTGGTTGAATGAACTTCTCTTTAAAATTTTTTCAAATATTTACAAAAAATTTTTAGGGTATTGGGAGCGTATAATGTACATGTTATACTTAAAATTGTTATGACGGAGAATTTTTTTTCAAATTTTAATTTAAATCAATTAAAATATAATATATACGATTTTTCTGACCTATTAATGTCCTCCTTTGAACTGAAGGTCTTTAAAACCATTATAATTAATATTGAAATGGTCTATGGGAAAAACCCATTATAATTACAGGATTTTGATATTATTTTTAAAACAATTTTATATTTTTTTAATGAATAACAATTTTTATATGAAAAATGGTTTGCATTCAATTTTTTTTATTTCAACTCTGTATACTTTTTCAAATTTTTTTTTTTAATTGAACAAAAAAAAAATATTCTCTTTGATCTCTTAATTTTTTTTTTCTTTTTATAATCCTTAAAATATAACCAGTCTGTAATTTTATAAATTTTGTATTCCTTTAATAGCACAAAAAAAAAAATTTACTTTTTATTCTTTAAGATTTTTTTTATACAAATTTTATAGCGTTTTATATTACAAATTTTATTGGAATTTTATTAGCAAAAAAAAAATCAAATTAACTAGAGAAGAGAGCCTACATTTTAATTAAAATTTTGTCAAATTAAGCATAATATTGGCAGAGGGTAGGTAAATGAGAGAACAGGAAGAACAGAAAAGGATACTCTTATAAACTATTGAGCAAAATTCTTTTCATAATATTTTCTTAAAAAATTTCCTTAAATATTGAGTGAAACTATAATAAACAACATAACAATACGATAAATATTAAAATAACAAAATATCAGACTTTCAAATATTATTGAAAATAATAATATTGTCCTTAATAAAAATATCCTGTAATAAAAAAAATTTTGTATAAATTTTTTTCTGACAAAATTTTCTATGAAAAATTCTTTTAATTTTCTCAAATATCATTTAAAGTGAAAAGTTTTTAAAGGGAAAATAAATCAACTACTCCTGTGGATATGCAATTTTTTTCTAAATATAATTATTTCAAAAATTTCAAATAATTATTTATTGTAGGTGCTTTTAAATATTTTTTTTAATGAAAAACTAGTTCTATATTAACATAAAATTTTGTATGGTGGAGAAAATTTATATAGAATTTTTTAAGTTCCTGGCTTTTTAAAATAGACAAATTAAACTATAATTATTTTATTTGTAAATTTATGAATTAATTCTAATAATTAACAAAATCTACTAGAATAAGAAAAAAATCAATTTTGAAGACATTTTTTCCAAACAATATTTTTCGTCCTTTCAAGCAAACTACCTATAATATATTGGCTATATTCTCAAATTATCAATTTTTTTGAAATATAGCCATTAATGGAAAAGTCTTCAATTAATTTTTGGAAATTATTGAATTTCATTTAAAATTTAATTTAATAATTGCAATATTTGTTTTTTATTAAAAGCTGAAAATATTAAAAGTTTTTATTTTATTTTATAAAAATTTGAAATTTATTGTTTAAAAATCTGATCAACTTAATAAAAAAATATTAAATGAAATCCTTTAGTATATCCTTAAGCATTAAATTTGATTTTTTATAAATACATTGAAAATATTTTTTTTTTGTGATTTTTTGTTTTTTTTTTTATCTAAAAAAATAGTTAATCATATCAGTATTGTACGTATAACTTCTTTTGCATATTTTCTAAAATTTTATTATTATCCTTCCATTTTAATTTAATATGAGAAAAAAAAAAAACAGAAGAAAATAAAAAAATTAAAAATTCAAAAAAAAAAAAAAATTATTTTTCATATTTTTGCACATTTTTTTTTATTGTTAATTAATTTTCAATATTTTTTTTTTTGCTTTTTAATTATTAAATGTAAATTTATTTTTTCTTCTCCATTTTGCTTCTGTTTTCCTTTTGTGTTTCCGTTCTATTGAATATTGAGCGAATTATTAATTGCGTTTCATTCAAAGGAATATGGTAATCAGAACTATTCTGCAGGAGTACAGCAGGAGTAAAAACTCGTCTGGAAACTCGAAATATGAAGCCTTCGCTTCGGTCGGAAGTAGTTATTTACCGAAGTTGGAATTAGTATGAGTAAGTATTCATTTTGTATACTCTTTTGCATTAGCAAGTATGGTTTAGAATTTGTATATGTGCAGTGTTATGAGATAAAAGTGTTATACACATAAAGTACTATACACTTAAAGTGCTATATACTCAGAAGTTTATACTCCTTAAGTGCAATACTCCTGAAGCATTAATCACTTTGTTGAGTGTTATACAAACATCTTAACTGTTATACATTCAAACTTTTATACAATTAAAGTGTTATACACCTGAAACGTCAAACATGTTGATTGTTATACATTTTAACTGTTATATAAAATAACTGTTATACACTCAAACTGTTATACACCCAAACTGTTATACATCCAAACTGTTATACACCCAAACTGTTATACACTCAAACTGTTATACACCCAAACTGTTATACACCCAAATTGTTATACACCCAAACTGTTATACAATTGAAGGGTTACGTATTTGAAGTATTGTACTACTAGTTACATACTTAATATGTACTTACATTTCAAATGTTATATGTTTAGAGTCTATAAACCTTTGAATGAATCTCAACAATAACGTATTTGATTTTTATATTGTTATAAATAACATAATCGTTCATTTTCTGTATTTTTTTTTGTTTTTTTTTTTTTGAAAATTAAATAATATTAATTATAAATATATGATAATATAACGAATATATATATATATATATATATATATGTATAATGTGATGTTTTTTTTTTGTTTCAATTTTAATTTTAATCCATAATTTCATATAAATATTTTTTTTTGTTATTTTATTAAAGGATTTTTTTTTTAATTTAATTATAAATAAATATTATATTATTTATATTATTATGTTATATATAGAATTTTATTAAATTTTATGATCTTATTGAAGCAGTTAATCTTAATAAAACTAATAAAATTATAAAACTATTCAAATTACTAATAAAAATTGGTGAATTACAATACCCTATCGAAGAAGAACCTATAATAAAAGAGATTGAAAAATAAATATAAAAATATAATTAATAAAATTGAATTTTTTTTTTTGAAATATGGAGTATTAAAATTTCATTATAAAAATTTGACTACTTCTATATTAATAAAATTTAACAATAAAAATTATAAAAATATTCTTACCACTATTACGACCATATTCTTTTGGTGGATAATCCGTATATAATATACTTTGTCCAAGTGGTACTGTACCACCTTTACGATCTTGTGTACCACTAGCAGCAGTACCTAAACCATTACCATTTATTTGTGATGATGTACCATGACTCTCTGATCGTATTGGAAATAAAACTTCTGGTTGCATTGTACGTGGTGTTTCATTTCTAGGTGTTATAAAATTACCTGCAAAATAATAACAAAAAAAAAAGTAATAAATTAAAAAAATTTTTCGATTATTTTGAATATTTTGTTTTCAAAATAAATCAAAAATTATCAGTAAAAAATGGTAAGAAAAAAATTTTAATAAAATGTTTTGACAAGTACAATATGCCAGTCCATATAATAAGAGAATCCGTTTCAAGAGAAAAACCGGAATAAAATGAAAATCTCAGATATTATTAAAGTTTTTTTTTTCTTGTATATGACACATTATTAAAAAAGAAAACACCTTAAAAAATTTAAGGATAGGAAAAATTTATCGATTTTGTGACGAACTTTATTTTGTTTTTTTCTTTTTTTGTTCTTAAATAAATTATTAACAGTAAAAGAAAGTAAAAGTTTCCTCATTAAATATTCTAGAATTAAAAATAGCTAAAGAAAATCTATCAAATTCAAACAAAACAAAGAAAAATGAAAATTTTATAGACAGGAGAAAAGGATAACAAAATCAAAAAAAAAAAAAAATAAGTATAAAGGATATCGTAAATGGCTTATAAAAAATTCATTCTTCATACCAAAAATAAAAAAAGCAAATCAAAAAATAAAAGCAGCAGATCCTTTTGCGGTAAAAAAAAAATTTTACTTATTCAAGAGTATTTTGTTGAACAAAAGGATATTATTAAATGTTAAATGAAAAAGAAAAAGGACATTTTGTTATACGACCAAAAACGTAAAATATAAATTTTTAAATTTTCTCTAACACAAAAAAAACATGAACGACTGAGTTTTAATGCCGGTTTTATTAAAGAATCCTTGTAGTTTTAGTAGGTATTATTTTTTTTTTGTATACAATATTAAAATATATCACGTGCACAATTTTAGAACTATCCCCTCTAAAATATAAGAAACTATTTTTATATTATTAAGAAATTTTTTTTTCTTTGGTTTTTTTTTTTGGTTATTTAGATTACCAACTGCAGTGGCTTGAATACTTTTAGTTCAAGGCTATATATCTTCTTTTATTTGATTTGCGAAAGGATGTCAGATTATTTTGTACAAAAAAATTTTTTCCCCCGCATTCTTGGTTGAGCTCTGTGTTATTTTTTGCTATCAAATCTAAAGCAATCACTACTTTCATTATTGAATGCCACAATTTGCTATAGCGTAACAAATTCAACATGTTTCATACCAAACTTAAAGGATTCCCTATTTTCTAAATAATAAGTAAAAAACCTTCTTGTGCAGCTAGAATGTTAGAAAATAAGTGTTTTTCATTTAAAAAGTAGAGAAACGCTCTATTGTCTGCAGGAAACGTAAAAAAATTAATAATTTACTTTTTTCAAAAATCGTAAAGAACGTAAAAAATGTAAAAACGTAAGAAACGTAAAAAAAACGTAAAGAAACGTGAAAAAAAACTTAAAAAACGTAAGAAACGTAAAAAACGTAAAAACCGTAAAAGTGTAAAAAACGTAAAAAACTCGTATGTCTATTACTTAATGTAAAAAACGTATAAAATCTAAAAAAACCCAATATTTACCATGTAAAATATAAAAAATACCGCTATTTTCGATAAAAACGCATGAAATTACTTATTGACTTTAGAACGACGTAAACAACCTGTTCTTTAATAAAACGGAGGGAGCACGTTTAAAATTGGAAAACCGATATTTCTTATGTAAAATGTAAAAATTCGTAAGTTTCACAAAACTTGGAAACAGGAACTCCTATAGAACGAAAAAAAAATTGTACGTAAACTTGGTTGATCCGAAAAGGATGTTGCTGTTTTGTTTCATTGTTTTTCTTTCCTTACCAACATTCTTAATACTTTTCTAATCTTTTGTAAATATTTTTTTTTTGTTGAATTTTAGAATCATTTATTTCTTCTGAAGTTCTTATTTTTCTTGTTCTTTTTGGCTTTTTTGCCCTCTCTGAGGAATAAAGGAAGAAATTACAGTCAATCAAGTACCATTAATCAAAGTCCTTCAATATTAAATATCTATTAAACTTCTTGTTTTTTTTTTATATTTCAAAGTTAAAATACAAGTCTTAATATTGAGGGGATAAAGAGGGACATGAGTGCGTAGGTATATATAAAATGTTGTTTTTCAACTTTTCAAGATTTATACCAAAGATTTGATTTTTTTTTTTTAGATCCTTTTATGACTTATAGAACATAACCTTTATAGTGTTTTACCTCATCTAATCTGTTGTTAAATTCTATTAAAACATTTTGATTTTTATCGATAAGCATGTGTTATACAATATTATGTTTAGATCAATAAACTCAAAAACAGTAAATAACAATAGGTAACAAATTTGTATAAAAATGTATAGGCTATAAAAATCGGAAGGAAAAATAAAAGAGAAAAATATACTAAAATATTGTAAATAGGAAATTAGACCAGACAGAAAGTGTAAACTTGAAAAAAAAATAGGTTTATACCACAAAGGAGTTGGAATATTTTTGATCTATGAGCCTATTCCATGTAAGTATAATATATAAGCAAAAATATAGGAATATATAGCATTGAGATTCGATTCTATCAAATTCTTTTATTGATTGATTTTGACTGATATCATCTTCCACATGAAATTTATACAACTACATAAAAATATTATGTTGGTCATAGGTTGAGGATTTAATTTAATTATTATTTGGTTTTAGTAAAAAATTATTGACGTAAATAATATTAAAGGATGGTGTATAATAAATAAGTCAAATTCGAAATTAACTCGAAATAGGTCAAAAATCATAAGGAAATCATAAAAATCATAATCAAGGATTTAGAAGATTTATAATAATCTTCTATTCCAAAAAAAAAAAATAAAATAAAATCTTTTAATTAAATTTAATTCAAATTAAAATAAAATCTTTAATTTGATTTATTGAAATAATTTCAACTTACTTTCTTTTGGTTCTGTTGTATGCACTACTTTTGATGGAGATGATGGCATTGGAATTTCTGAAAAATATTAGAAAAATTTTATATTATTAAAAATGTGTTTGAATTGCAATTAATTAGATTTAATAAATTTTATTTAGCTAAAATTTAGTAAAATTTTATTTAATTGAAAAAATTGCATATTTTTAGGCGATTTTGTTTAAAAATATTAACTTTGCGTAATATTTTGTATATTGCACCCAAATCCAGGTATTTTACATTCATTAAAACCAAATTTTGTCCCAATATGATTAAAATTTTGGATACTGTGCGAATTTTTCTGTATATTCGTAGAAATTTTCGTTCTATTGTAATGTTAAAACTATCAATTGATTAGGTAACAAGAGAACATATTTTAATAAACTTGTATAAGGCAGAGGGTATTTGGTTTCACTGAATTGTTTATCGATTCCTGCTTAACTAAATTTTTTTTGCATAGGATTGTGTGTCTGATAGAAAGCAGTTTTTTCGATGAGATACATGTGTTATTACATTCTTTTTAAAAAAATGCAACAATTATTGTGATATTGCATAAAATATTCCGCAAATTCAGTAATCGAATCACAGACTTATTTGATATTTTAGGAATTTAATTATATAATCCTTAAATCTAATATTAATAATCTAAAATCAAAAATTTTCAAACTAAATTCACCTACAAAAAACATGTATACGACAATATTCGCTTATAAAAATAATATTTATTTAACACTTTAATTTTAAATAATTCAAACTTAAAAATAAAACTTAGAAATAACTTTTTAAAAAATAAGTATACAGAATTGCACAAAATGTAACTTTTGATTTATAAATAGAAAAATAAATAAGAAAATTAAAAGTTTTCCTTTATTTTAACGATCTACAAACACCATATTATACAAAATCAAATATATTGATACAGAAATCCTTGCAAACCTACTTACATACTCATATAGAGAGAAAAACAGTTTTTTCTATTCTCATGTTTTGTTTTTAAATATTTAAGGATTAAGTTCCGATTGCAATTGTTTCAGTAAAAAACTTCTTAAAAAATTTCAAAGAAAAAAAATAAATAAATAAATAATAATATAAAAATAATACAGTCCAACTCGGATATTTGGGCAATTTTGCATTGCATATACAATTACTCCGAAATTCTATTTACCAAAATATTGTTATCACCTTGTTATCACGAGAGCTTAATGAGATATTCCGATGAAGTTTTGCCAGAATAAATACCAAATTATTGAGAATTAGTTATAAAATCAAACTTAAAACAGTTAATTCCGATTTTCGTTAAGTAAAATCACATTAGGAAGACCGGGTGTAACAAAAATTTCTTTATAATTTAAATACAATGTATAAGTATACAAATGAGCATCACTTGTGAAACATAATATACGTAATTGCCATAATTTTAGTGAATTATTTTAGGTATAAGGAAGGAGATTTCTTACTCTAGACATATTTTTCCAATAATTCAATAATAATAATGTGAAAAACCTATACAATCGTATAGAAAAATTTCGAACTATAAGTTTTCTCTAAATCCCTAGAAGAGCTATCATGTAGTTTCTCAGTTGACAAAGCGTTCATGCAGAAAACATTAGTAGTTGAAATCCAGTTTGAGGAGAAATTTTTTTAATTTAAAATATGACTTGTTTCTGCCGCACCCAAACTGTTCTACAGTGTTGTATGAAAAAATTTCGTTTAATTCTCATGTACATAATTATCAGGGTTTTACTGTACCTAGAAATTTTGTATCTTTTATTCACCAATATAAAAACCAAATCAAAAATGTTTATCAGAAATCAGAATGGATGAATAAATTCATATATAGTTTAATAACAGTTAAAAGAATGAACAATTTTTTTTTTTACTTATTTCATTTCATCTTCTCGGATTGCCATAAATAAAACAAAACAAACGAAAACGAAAACTTTGTAAAAGTTTAATTTGGAAAATTTTTTTGATAAAAAACTACAATAAAAGAGAGTAAAAAAAGCGAGAACAGAAAAAATAAAGAAAAAAAATAGTAAAAGTAGAAAATGCAAAATACTGTTTAATTTTTCTTATATGCTCTACACAGCTCTTATGCTATAAGAACTGTAATTGTAATTTTCCCCGATAAAAGGAAAACATGAAAAAGTTTTCGATTTTGATTTGCAATCAATTTTTTGTTTTTGTTTGCAAGAGAAATATAGAGAGAGAAAAAACTGTATTGTTTTTATTTTTGCCTTTTCCAATTCAGAAACACAAAATACCAAAAAAGAATTATTGGTGCGGTGGAATTGGGATAAGAGTCTTGTGTGTATTTTTCAAATAAATCATTCGATAAATTGTTTTATTTATCCGGAATGAAAAAAAGTTTTGAGTTCTAAAATCACTAACAAAATTGTTATTTAAAAATATTTTCCAACTTTTCACTTTCATTTATTTTGTTTTCATTCACTTGAGTGAAATAACTAAGGAAAATTTTGGGAAGCCAAAGGTGTATTTGTATCATAATTCTGTGGTTCAATACGTAAAGAATAAAATTTTAAAGATTCAATACCCTTACTATGAATCCTTAAGAAATAAGTAGTATTACGTAAATATTATTTGAATGTTTCGTTTAAGAAAAACAAGTCAGGAATGCATATTTGAAAGTTAATTGGGAAAACAAAAGTTTCTTATATGTAGTTTTGGTTAAGATCTTAAATAATTCAAGATTAAATTATTGAATTTCGGTTGTTGATCAACAATATTTAATTTAGATCTTGATTGCTATTTGAATATTATAGTGAGAATTTTTACAAGCGTTCCTGGTCAGTAAATATATGGGAACTCATCAAAAGCAATAATTTTCTGCTCATAGAAATTTTTATGATTTAAACTGTAGATTTTGTATAATGTCGGTTTATATGTTGGTTTTATATATAATATATAAACCTACATTACCGCAGAATAGCATAGTGACATAGATCACTCAAACACCCTGAGATTAATTGTGGAGCAATCGATTGAATGGAAATCCCTACTATACATAACATTCTTCGAATTTTAGAGAGCATTCGACACAGTAAAGCGAGATGCCATATAGAGAGTATTAACTAGTAAAAGAATACCACAAAAAATAACGAACCTCATACGAGCTCTATACAAAGATGCCGAAGCTAGAGTCCTCCATAATGGTAAATTGGGTAAGCATCGAAGCAGGTATAAGACAGGGATGTCCACTCTCTCCGCTACTATTCAACATAGCCCTATACGAAATAATGCTGAAGTCAAGAGCCACTCCAATGGACGCATAAAATGGACTTTAACGAGCCGCCTGGAGTATTTGGAATACGCAGATGATATCGCTCTGCTGTCCCACACACATTCAGACATGCAAGCAAAATTGAATGAGCTGCATATAAAAGCAGCAGTGGTCGGTCTGAAAATAAATACAAGAAAAATCACCAGATCACTCCGAATCAACGTGTAGCAAACACTATCCTCTTCGTCATAAATACAGCCACGATACAAGATGTTGAACAATTCAAGTACCTCGGCAGTATAGTATAGACAACCGGAGGGATCAAAGAATACGTTGAAAATAGACTAAAGATTGCATTCATGATTTTCGGTTTTGTTTATTTTCTTCAGCTGTAAATTTTTGTTTTATAATTTTAGACAATGAGTAGCTCAAGAATAATGAGCTTATCTTTTAAGTTTTAATTCTTCGCTTCAATAAGGTTGTTGAATGTACGAAATTAATTAGATGAGAATTTTCGAGTTTTAGACTAAGGTTTGTAGATAACATTAACTCAATCTTTATTTATTAAGCAAAGTTAGTGAGTTTTTAAGCGATCAACTAGATTATTTAATGCAGTAAGAAATCTAAAAATTTCATAAATTTCGAAATTTCGACATTTTGAACATGAATTAATTGAATACAGGTGTCACTCTTAATAAAATTATTTTTCACATGCAAATTCACAAATTTGATAAATTTTTTTTTAATTTAGTTAAGCATCAACTCATCAAATCAAACCTCAAAATTTCGAAAAAAAATTTAAAAATACCGCAAACTATATTCTAATTTTAATTAAAAATTGCTCTATTTTTTTTTTAAAGAGGAACAGATCACATATTTAAATAGATTTAATTTTTAAAAGTGAGATCAAGGAAAAGTCAGAGAAGAGAAAAAAATTTTGTCGGAGAAGAGAATTAGAAAGTTATAAAATGATGTCAAGTATTTTGACTTCAACATTAAGGAAACTTTTGTTTCATTATAGACAGAACAATTATTTTTTATGAACTTTTTAATATTTTGTATATAAATTTTTTCTATTCTATAGATATACTTTAATAAAAATGTTGATTTATTGTTATACAAATATAACAAAATTAAAAATTTCACAAAAAAAAAAAAACTTTTATTTTTGCATAAAATAAATTTTAAAAAATTTTAAATTTTATGCAAAAATTTGAATTTTGTGCCGTGTATACATAGTGAAAGTTTTCTATATTTAATGGTAATATGAAGAATGTGGATAATATTGAAGTTGATATCTTAATATACATTCTTCGCTATCTAGAATCTCAACAGATTCAAAAAACAAACAGTAGAATATTAAAAATTAAACACGAAATCGCGAAGTCTTCAATTATAATTGAAAATAGGGTTGTGAGTGCAGCATCTTCACTTATTAATTAATATTTCAAATTATCAATATAAGAAAAACTTATATAATTAAGCATATCAAATGTAAACAGGGCCGGATCTTGGAATTGAATTAGTAGGAAAATCTTGAAAATTATTAGTGTAGAAGAAATTTTATGATTTTTTTTAGAATCGCTAGAACGAATAGCGTGTAACTGATTATAGAAGTTTATTTACAATACAAAATAGCACAGAAAATTAGATAGAAAACACCTGGTCTCATGTAAGACATCTTATAATACTCTAATATCTCGTTTGCGAAGATATTTTGAGGTATTCCACAAAAAAGAAAATGATTGCATTGAACTACTTGAGCAAATTGCAAATTAACATTATATTGTGAGTCATCAATTGCCCGATATATTAATTGGGTTTGAGAAGGCACTATTAGGTTCGAAGCAGTGTTCTTCGTCTTATATTTTCAATATGCTCAAAATTCACCATTAAAAAGGTACATTTAAAGTGGATATACTCCGAATAACGATTAAGTTCTTGGCATTTTCAAACTCCTGAAATGAAAATTTTTTAAATTTTCCAAAAATTTTTTGATTATTCCGAGAAATTTAATGGATTCAGTTGCAAAAATTCGGATTTAATCTGACATCAGAGCACAAATCGTAATCTTGCAAATACATTCTTATACATGCAAATTATTAAAAATCGAAAACAAAAAGAACAAGGAAGAAAAATCTTTTAATAACAGAAGCAAAAAAGAACAGCAAAATCAAAAATTATCCTTGAAGAATTTTGCTATTCAAATCAACAAGAAAAAGGCAGAGAAAAAATTATTATTTTTTTTATTTTCACTTCACTGAACACTTCTTTCTTTTTCTACACTAAATTTATATATTCGTCTCTTTTACTCATCTCTATTTTAAAATTGAGTTTCAATATTATAGATTCTATGATAATAAGACATTTGTTGCAAGTGCATTTTAAATAAAAGTGCAAAATATGTTTTGCATGTGCATATATGTATGTATATGTGATGCACACGTAGGAATTAAAGGTATACATATAAGTGTTTATGTATGTGCATATATATATATATTTTCTGATAAATTTTCTATTTTTAACCCCGTTATAATCAAATCTCTTGAGATAAACTTGACAAAGAATATTAAAAAAAAAAAATTTTTTTTTTATTCTTTAATATTTTTAACGTAGAAGATCTACGTTTTTCTATGTTTTAAGGAAAAAAAAAAATTGTAAATTGGAGCGTGATATTTTTTTTTTTTAGGAAATTCACATATTATGTAGATATTATTAAAATTCCAAGGTTCTTAGCAATTCTTTTAGGTTTTTTTTCTTAACAAGAGCAGCGAAATTCTTCAAAAATGTCTTATAAAATAAAAAAAAGCAATTTTTAATTCCACAAAATACGATATAAGAGAATAATATTATGATCCTATGAGATAATTGTATGAGTGTATATGATGATGAAGATGAAGATGACAATAATGACAATATTTGTTTGTCATTTTAAATGAGTTTTGTTTGTTGTTTCCTTTTGTGTATAACCTTGAAGAAAATGTTATTATTATAATAGTTTTCTAAATCCAAAAATTATGCAATCAAAATAAATTAATTTTTTAGTTTGTATTTAATATGAATTTTTATACCCGTACGAACGTATGTTCGAAGGGTATACTAAATTTGTCTTACCGTTTGTAACGCTAGATATAGACTCAAGTGCTAGATATAGACTCAAGTGTATGTTTTTGATCAGCGTCAAATTCTGAGTTGATTTAGCTTTGTCTGTCCATCCGTTCATCCGTCCGTCCGTCCGAACGATAACTCAAAAACTAATTGAGCTAAGTACACCAAATTTTCACAAATGATTTATTGTAGTAAGTGCCAGAACCCTATTTAAATTGGACGTGATCGGGGTACCGGTTCGGGTAGCTGCCATACAACTTCAAAATTTATTTGGCTATATCTCAGAAACTATAAAAGTTGTGGTATTGAAATTTGACACAATCGAATATATTAGTAAGGCCGATGTGCTTGATTAAATTCGTTAAAATTTCTTGGCTCTTTCTGGTAGCTGCCATACAACTTCAATAGTAGTTTGGCACAACCAGTATTTTGAAAAACACATAGTACTGAAATTTTGCATAAATTAATATGGTAATAAGGCAACTTAAATTCATAGTCTGCCCCATAGTTAGTTATGGTACATTAGTTATTCGCATATAGGATAACAAATTCGTACGGATATCACAGAGTTGACAAGGTCAACTCTACTTTTTTTCTCGTTTTTTACGTATTTAATTTAATTTTAAATTTCAAGATTATTAATATGGTTTATATTGTATAACCTAAAAACAGAAATTATAATTTATTATTTAAAGAGAAATTTGCTTTAATTTTTTATAAAAAAATTTCTATATATGAAACAATTTAAGAAATATTGAACTTAAAAATGATATTTGAGAGCAAAGCGTTGTTCTTTATACTTTATTATTAATTCCTATAAGAACAACTAATGGAAATTTTTCCATTCAACTGCAGAGCAAATTGATAACGTAATTAAAGGAACGAGCTAAAGGCACAAAAATTGTAAAATTTTTAACCCCGAACTAGAATCGATCCAATGATCTACCGCTTTCTAGTTGAACGATCTACCAACTGTGCTAATTTTTCTTATTTATTTCTTAAATTTATTTCTTAAATGGTTTTCAATTGATTTTTCAGTGTTTTTTTATATAAAAGGAAGAATTGGTGGAGTTGATCGTACTCTGTAATAGCCGTAAGAATAAAAATATTTGTCAACCCACTTTTTTTTATTGATATATTTTGCGTTCAACTAATCGTATCATTCTCAATATCAGCTTACTGGAGCAAGATTACTTTAACCTTTCTCATGTCAACTAACAATATATTTTATGACGGTTACTCTCATATCTACATTAGTGCTGTGCTTAGATCTTTGAAAAATTTCATTATTGCAGCCATCTAAAACTAATCACTTGAAATTTATTCAATCGTCAAAAACTGTTCCCCGAACCATCTCGTATTCGTGCAATAAGTACTCTACCGCCTCGCATTCTTCCGCAAAAATGCGGTAGATCTCGGTATACCGCTTTGCATGTCCTCTTCAGATGGATCATCGATGTTTATAAAAAATAAAGGCTATATTATCATATTTATCGGTGAAAAATTTTAATGCTATGGCTCCAACAATTTTTGATTATAAAATTTAAATAACTTTTTAAATTATATTGAAGCTACTTGTACAACTGCCAAAACATCACATCTAATTGTAATAGGCATTATTCTGGCATTAATTTCAATATAAATTATGTGTAAAATTTGGTGAACTAAATTGGATTTTGCAAAAACTTAAAATGCAATTTATTTGAAAATTCGTAAAAAAATATGAAAATACGTCTGATTTCCTGGCAAAAAATTCCTTTCAATTGAAAAATCTTTAATAAATTTTGAGTAATTTCTATTTGAAATTTGTTCCCAATTAATTCTACCTCTATAACTAATAATTCTTAATAGTATAATATAAGAGTAACCGCATTATTAATAATACTTATGCACATATTGTATATTAAAATGTTTTCATTCATTTTTCTTACATATTTGATTAATTTTTAAAAACACATTTTTTAAATAAAAAAAATTTATTATAAAAGCATAGCTATTTTTTCTATATTTAATAAAAATTACCATAAACTCTAATGGATCCTTCAGTTTCACCAAGTGAATTTTTTGAAATGCATCGATAGTTACCAAAATCACCATATTGTAAATTTCTTATGGTTAGTTTCATATGCGCCCTATAAGTATGCAATAAAATATAAATATTAATATTTTGGTTTAAGGGCACTATTATTCAAAATCTCTATAAAATTTAATACATTTATTTGTGTGTGTGTGTGTATTAATATATATATATATATATATATGTGTGTGTCTGTGTGCATTCTATTTTGATATTTGTATTTTTATATTTTAATTCCCTAATTCTAAATACAATGAAGATTGTATGTTGTTCTCTTGTTTAACAAATTTTAATAATAATAAGAAAAAAAAAAAAAAACCGAAAGAACATTAAAATTTAAAAATTTTTTTTTTTGTGAAAGAATTTTTGCATTTTACATTTCAATTGGGGCATACAAAAGCAAATAAATTACAGGATAATTGTAAAAGGAAACTGAAATACGAAGGAAATTTGAAAAATTTTTGTTCCGAAAAATGAAAATGACTGAACATTTTTTTCATAAAATCAGAATGGGATCGAATTTGTGCCGAAATTTTCTCTTAAAGAAAGGAAAATTAAAAAATCGGGGTACATTTTTCGGTATGGGGAAAAAAAAGGCCGGACTCTGACTTTTTTTGGACTTTTTCGTTTAATTTAGGAAAATTGAACATGGGTTTTGCAAATTTTTGCTATTCACATCGTAGAATATATGGTCATAGCTCATAAAAATGTTACGCTTGCTCCAACAGACACTGTTTAATTTGGAAGTATGATTTAAATATATGCCAATATATGGCAATGCTTATGAGAAAATTCTAATGATATTTGGATTCAAGGTGCTTGATTAACTAGGTTATCTATTTGGAATGTTTATATGAACCAAACTAGAAAGGAAGTGATGGTTATTTTGATTTAAATTAAAGAATCAGAGAAAAAGAAAACCTATAAAGTAGTATGGAGGTCCATTCAAAATTTTCAATAATTTTAGAAAACTATTCAAGATATACGAGTAATATTTTATTTAAATAGAATGAAATTAAATTATAAATTTGATAATGTTTTCCGAGATTACAGCTTAATTATTATTCAAGCATTTCACTAATAATTTTCATTTTATTTTTTTAGAATTTTATGTGGTCTACTGCTAAAATCAAATTTAATTGCTTTCCAAAGTTCTCTCTCGGTATTTTTGAATATTTTACTAATCGGTTCTAATAAGAATCAGTAAATTCAGATAACTAGACTTGTTAAAGTGAGCTTAAGAATAATTTTTTAATAAAATTTTGTTTAAGAACTTGAATCGGACAAATCTTTTCTTTTTAATTATAAAAAGTTTTCAGTTTTTTCATTTTTATTTTAAAATTTACAAAATATTCATTAACTTTTCAATTATCCTGCGTAATGAGATGATCAGTAGAAAATAAGATTTTATTATTTTTTTCTTAAATTGTACTTGTTAAAAACATATATGAAAATTTTATGTTTAAAGCACACACACACACTCAAGAAAGTGCTCTGTAGAAAGAAAATTTAACAAAGAAAAAGAAGAGAAAAAATCCTTTCGGTTCTGTGTTTTTTTTTTATTAAGAAAAGGATATAATAATAATGTTGATCTCATAAGTAATTCAAAGACAAAACTTTTTAGTTATTTTAGAATTTATTGCAAAAAGGAATAAAACAGTTACTAAACTAACATACTTTTTATTGAAATTTTCACTAACTAGCTGTTGTTTTTTCTTTTTTTATTTTCTGCATCTCATATTATTCTTTGTGTATTTTTAAAGAATCCCTTTGCTTTTTAAAAAACGGATATTTGCAAGCTTTGTTTTCTATTATTGTTCTTCTGTTTTAGATTTCTATTTTGTTTTCCTATTATTTTGGGAAAAAGTATACAAAGAAATTGAATGGAACAAAAATAGGAAAAATAGGAAATTGTTTTGTATTTTATTTGAAAAAAAAAATTCTATATTATTTTTGTTGAATAAAATAAATTAATTATTTTTAAGAGCTATATAGAAGAATTGTGTACTATTTTATTTATTGAAATCGACATTGTAATAAAAACGATGGTAAAGGAACTCATATTTTTCAATTATGCAACAGTTGAAACTATTAAAAATAATAGCAAATGCACTTTATGATTTTGTGCATTACACCCTCTGTTTTTATAAGAGCTTAAGATCCATAGGGACCTAGGGGTTCCTTTGGTTATAGATTAAATTAAGAGTTGTGCTACAAAGCATAGGGCTCATCTAGAACAGCATGTAAATATGGAAGAAGACTTAAACGAAAAAGGACCTTTCGATTTAATACGAAATACCAATTTCCTTATGGAAGGTATTTAATTCCTGTACGGAAAAACCAAGTTAGTGCAGAAGTAATAGTTGGTCTGTACGACCAATTTTATTCGTTCAGAGTTTTGGTGATTTTTTAGAGTAGGAGTACCGCTCCCACACTGTCGGAGTAAAAAGGCAGAGAGCGCCGTCCTTCTTCGTCTTTCGAGATTTATTCATCTAATAGGAAAAAAAAATTATTTATTTCTATTTTATGAAAATTTATTCAAAATAGTAAAAATTCTGTTATTATTCTTGATTTTCCTTAAAATTTCTGTTTAATTTGATTTTAATTAAATTTGAGCTATAAACCAAAAATTAATATACTTTCCAATATTTATTATTGAGTACAGTTAACGCTATTATATTCAGTAATTATTGTTATACAAGATGTTCGAGATTGAATTGCACTCTTGAAAGTGATACTTAAAGGTGATTTAATGATATTTTGCTTTTTGAGCCCTTATTGTCGTGTTGAGTGGCTCAAATTACATCTTTTCATAGAAAGTTATAATATTTGATTATCAGATTTGAGATACCGAAGATTTGCATTGTGTATTAAAGATAGATTCCTCAAGAAAGTCGGGTAGCTGTAATTGCACGCTCAATGACAGCCTGGTGATTATAGGATAGTAGTAGCAAAATGGTACATTTGTGCTGCACCTGCCACATTAACCAACCAACCAATCAACCATTTAAAAAGCTATTTTGGTAGACTCAAAATACTAGGAAATAAGAACTATTAAATTCTTTATACTTGGGTAATCTCTATCAAAATGTGATGAGTTATTTAGTTGTAAACTAAAAAATTCTAAAAAGGTTGTGTCTTCTTGTAAACTAAATATTCTTTCTTAAAGATTAAATTGTGTAAATTTTTATGTTGTGTTTCAAATAGAGAACTAATTTAAGAAAAAAAAGGAAAAAATTCAATTTACCTGTAAGAATTTTCCGTATACTCTGTCTTATATTTTTTACTAGGAAGTACCATCACTGAATTATAAACCCAATAAATGATAGCTCTGAAATGAAAATAATAAAAGAATAAGTGAAATTTTTTAATAATAAAATAATTTATGAAAATATTTTTAATAAAATTAATTATAATTTGTTATTGAACAATGTTAACTGATGTTATGTAAAAAATTTTGAATGAAAATGCCAACAAAATTTAACCCTGTACCACGTAAATTTTTAGAGAAATTTATGTGCCTAACGTATTTCAATTATCTATATGATTGAGTTAAGTAAGAATAGTGGGCCGCATTTTAGAGCTGAATCAGCGGCATGTTTCTCATGAACCGCATTTTGACAACGTCTACTGTGCTTTATACCATATATATTTATGCCATTATACTAAATTAGACTCAATTTTATATCCCATAATCTGTGTTTTTGCATGTTTTTTTATTAACTTAGTCTTAAAGTTAAAGTAAATATGAAATACAACTAAAATTCAATTAAATTTCATTACTGTGAATTAAAAAAAAAATTAACTATATTCACTTAAAACTATATCAAATTACAAATTTAAAACTTTCACTATAGTTTAACAAAAAAATGCAGAAAAAACTAAGGGAAAACTACTCGAACAGACAACGATTAATAAAAAAAAAAGTTTAATTTTCTTGTTCATCAATTAAACTACTCAATTTAAAGTTTTCATTTAGTAGATCTAAAAGTGTTATAAATTCCTAAATGTTATAACTATAGAGAAATTAAAAAATTTCAAATATGATTTGTTTTTACTTCTATATTAATCAAAAAAAAAAAAAAATCTGCATTTGTTTAAGGAAAAACTTTGAGAGAACAAGAAAAAAAAATTATGAAAAATTCAAACTGCTTTAAAAACTTCTTGTCTATACTGGAAAATTAAGTTAAAAAAAAAAAAGAGAAAAATTAAATTTTAAAGTTTTTCCCTGAAAAATTTCCTTGTTTTCTCCTATCCTTGATTCTATGAAATATTTACGAAAAAATTGCTGCTCTACATAATAAAATTAAATCGTTAAAAATTATGCATAAAAGAAGAAAGGGGGCACGCTACCTTTTATATAAAGCAGCTATTACACGGGATACAAGTGAAAAATTTTGCAGATTTCCCGAAGATTTTATAAAACAGTGAGCCGGCTCAATACATAATATTATTATTGTCTTTGAAGTATGCAAAAATTTCATCGTAAATTCATAATTTTGTTAAATTTAGAGGGAAATCTTAAGACAAGGTTATTGATTCTTTATTCATGAACAAGAATAAGGATTCCTTTAAGATTATTGTATTAAATTGGGAAGTATGATTAAGGACATTTGCTTGCGAACTCATTGTGACGACAAAAATACCATACAGAATTTGTGACATTTGTTTAGGTATCAATAGTTTTATTCAGATAATTGAGCAATAATTGAAGAAATTGCCGTATAATATGTGAATGTCTATGCTCAATTTTAACTGAAACGCTTTTTTGCCATATATTGATATTTGAATGGGTTTCCAGAATCGTAATTTTCTTGTGATTGACCGAATGCTTATGCAACTAAATCCTGTATAACTAAATTTTCTATATAGGCTTTCTTTCCAGTAATTCGTGTAAGTCTCTTTTCTTAGGAACGAAATTTTTTCCAAAAATGAGCCATAATTTCCATAGAGCAGCAGCCCGTTTTAAAAATTAAAATTTTTCTTTTTCTAAATTCTTTCTATTCAGATAATAATAATAAAGTTACTAAATGTTTGTATTCTTATACATATGAAAATTTATATATCTACATACATAAATCCATAATTATATAAAAATCTTATCTCTACATACATACATTTTACTACTCTTCTTTATCACATTTCACTCTAGGGCTCACTATTCATATAAGATATAACATTTTAAGATATTGTTTGAGATAAAAAAAAAGGAAAAAGGAGTATATAGCTAGTATTCAAATTTACTTTTAATGTTTTCTATAAAATAAAATTGAAAAAAAAAAAGATAGATACTAGTTATATAGAAAAGGATAATAATATTATATTAAAGGACTGAGCGAACATTTTATTCATAAGTATACAACTTATAGCTTTTATAAAGCAAACAAAATAGATTATACGATAGATTCACTGTCATCGTCTACCATAATATTTTACTATCAACATAATCTAATAAAAAGAGCATTATTATACAAAAAGAGTATGTTGATGTATAGATACTGAAATCGCAATATTATAGGAAAATATGCAAACCAATCAACTATGGGATACAAATATTGCACATTTAAAGAGCATCTCTGCCGAAATATAGGAAGTCATGGTGCTCTTTTAAATTATTTTAATTGTATTTAAAAAATGGCTTCCAACCTTCTTCATTACCGTAAATTACCTATTTTAAATTTTTTTAAATTTCATAAAGAATTCTTTTTTTTTTAAATTTTAAGAAATTTTAAATATATTCCTATAGAACAATTTTCCTATAGAAAATTGATGACCCAGAACAGATGAATGTTATAGGAAAAGGAACGAGTTAAAGCCGAAAATTTAAAAAAAAAATTCTCGAACTGGATTCTAAGCAGTGACCTACGGCTATCCTATGTTTACGGTCCGTAATCAGTGACCTATGCATTATTCTATCATATTTTTTCTACACCTTCTTGATTCTTGTCTTTCTTTAGTAGAGATAAAACTATGATTTAATCATATTAATTTAAAGTAAAAAATTTGTTACTTTAAAAAAATAAATTGTTAAATTAAAAACTTAAGTTGTTAATTTAAAAAAAAAAAAATTGTTATTTTAACAAAATTATTTTTTAATAACGAAAAATTAACATTAAATAATTTCTTTAATATTAATGCTGAAAATTTGAAAAAATTCAAAATATTTCTTTATACAATTATGACATTAAATAATGAAAATTTCTTGTATTTAATATTAAAAACCTAATACCAGATAATAATGCATCTGCTATACTAGAATTAGACATTATATACATTATGTTATTGTATATAGCTAGCATAAAATTTTAAACTACATATTATAAAGGATCGTATTTTAATAATATGAAAATCAAATATTTTATAAATTCAAACTATCTATGCACAGGCCCGTATCTGATTTGTTCGACGCTCTACGCGTGAAAAGAAATGAAGAATATACAATAATTATTACATATTGCGCATAATAATTGCGCCCCTGTGCTCCAGCGCTCATTGCATAATGCTTACTTTACATATATGGTAGATCCGCCGCTGTCTATGCATATTAAAAATATTCGTTATATATAATATGCCTGTATGTATGTATTTAATATCTCGTTATTTTTGTACATGATTAAAAGTATATTTTTTGTTATACTATGTAGTATATAGTATTATACACATAATGTTATACTCTATTATTTTCTTATGAATTGGTGATTTCCTGAAGAATTCTCTCTTATATAAATTAAAATACTTACTTTGGATGTGCTTCTGTATGACAATCAATGGTGACATCAGTTCCAGCTGGTGCTCCAACTAGTTGATTTGGTACCCAAATCATTGGTGAAACTAAATATATAATAGATAATATATGTTTGTGTGTGTATATAAAAAATATTTTTATATTAAAATTTATTAAAGATTTTTTTTCACATATTTTTTTTTTGTAATTTTAAAATATACAGTTCCATAATAATGTGTAGTCATAAAAACAGATGCACTCCATATTCTATATAAGTAGTACATACTAAAATTGTATGACTCCTATATGCACTATAATAATATATACATATACTTATATGTATAATAATTATTAACTGAACTGATATTAAAGAGATGAAATAAAATTGTAAAATGCATGAATTGTGCATGAGATTGTGTATGTCATAAAATGAAATCTAATTTAAATTCAGTGATTTCCAGAAACAATAAAAATTTTTTTTTTTTTCGAAATTTAAAAAAAAAATTATGGTTGGTATACACTGACTGTTTTCAATAGAGTTTGAAAATTTTTTTTTTTAATTTATTACACTCTTGAATGCAATTGATGTGATAGTGGAGAATTGTATGTGGGTTAATTGGCCTAGACTCATAGTTAAATATTTATGGATATGGTAATAAAACAGATATTTTTTGGAAATTTTTTATGATTTAATTTTTCCTATATACTCTTATTAAATAAGAGTAAATTAATAATTCATAAATTTCGTGTTTAGGAGTTAAAAAGAAATGTGAAAAGTGATCTTGCATAAGGGTTATATGCAATTCTGGCAGCCAATGGCAAATAAATACCATGTTTTAATGGTATTTATTTGCCATTGGCTACAAATAAGAAACAGTATTGGAATTTTTTTAATTGGTGAGAAGTGTTGAAACTATTTGAAAAAATTCTACTCGAATACTAGAAGAATTTGCTCAAATACTAGAAGAGCCTCTTCGAAGAAAACTACTCGAATCTGTTAAATGACCAATTAAGTACTATTTGATATCATTTATTATAAAGAATTCTATTTTTCTGAATTCTCCCATCATTTACATTCTTCCACAAATTGGTTTTTGTAGCAGTTTCGAATTTCCAACAAAATGACTTGCCGGTTTCCATTTATTATTTTCAATCGAAAAATTTTGTATTCCATTGGAAAAAAAAAATTGGAAAATTTATGAATAGAATAGACGTAAGGAATACGCAAAATTAGTATAATTAGATAGACACGTACATGGTTAGTAATAAATGGAATGCTTAGAATTAGATGGAATAATTTGCTATTATTTACTATTATTGCAGTACGGCGAAAAATTCTTCGAGATTGGATGTAAGCATCATTGATTGGAACGATTTGTAAGATTATCAACTCTCATTACAAGTCCGAAAACAAAAAAAGTTTAAGTAACATTACATGCTAAATCTAATGTTGGATATTTGTGTACAGGGTAGTACTCAAGGTAGTACTTAAGGTAATCTCTAGATTGAACATGATTTAGAAATTGTATAGAACACTTGCGGTATTCAAAACTCCTATTTTCTTTAGACGAAGAAGATTTTTCTATTCAAAATTCTATTCAAAGGAAAAAAAAAACTGTTATACTAAAATAGAAAATTCCTATTAAAAGAGGTGTGAAAGCAATGTTTTACGATTAAATGAATAGATTAAAAATTAAATGCAAATTACATAATATTATTTAGGTTAGAAAGAGAAAAAAATTTTCAAAAACAAAAATGTTGTAATGGTGGGGTGGGAAATAGTAAAAAAAAAATTTATTTAATTTATTTTATAAAATTTTACATTATTTTTTTTTTACAAAATAAATTAATGTTTAAATAAAAATAATCATTTTATAAAAATATTAAAGAGAAAAAATTCATTCACTTTGAAATTAGAAAGTACCGCCTGCATTGAATTTGAAATGGACCTAACAAAGGTATCCTCCAAACATGGAGTTTTTTTTTTAATGCTCTTTGTTTTATTGCACTTCATATTGTAGAGAAATTGTTGATTTTTTCTCTATTCATTAAATTTAATTAAAAATGAGTTTTTTTTTTTGGATTTTTTTCTCTATTTTGTTTTTAGATCCATTATATGAGAGTAAGTTTTCGAGGGAAAAGAAGCATTCAATTGGAAAGACAAAAATATTTTTTTAAAAATAAATTAAATGAATTTTTGAATTACAAAAATATTCAAAATGACTTTTTTCATATACAAGGCTGTAGAATAATATAGTAGCCTCGTGTATAAAAATTTTCTAGATTATAAAAAATTGATTAGTATGTATTTAGAATGTCATCTAATAATAAATGCAAGAAAATTAAGTATAGATGTGAAAAACTAATTTCAAATTAATTTTAAATTCTCTACATAATGAAATTTTTAGTTTGATTTAGAAGATAATTAGACTATGTCGCTCTCTATTATTTGCTAGAACACGATGGCAACTCAAATTTCATTATTTTCAACAATAACCATTCAAAGATTTTATTTCTTCATTTTTCAAATTGGATTGCTGGAACAGAAAGAGTATACAAACCAGAAATGCTATAAAAATGTCAAACATTAAATCGACTCTAATGGCAACATAATCAAAAGTTTTCTAAATGGTATGATCATGTTTGATTAGCCACTGAGCAATCATACAAAATTTATAATTCATCCGATTAAACTAAATACAGTTTTGAATTAACAAGTTATTTAATTATCAAGTCAATGGAAGCTGAAAATACAAAAAGAGATCTTAAAAAATCACAGAAAAAGACACCATATATAATACTGTTTTTGACTCTACATTGTTGGCGAGGCACTGTAATTTTCATATTTACTTTATTATATTTGAGTTCTGCGGTAAAATCTAGAATTGCCCATTTTTCAATCATATTTGTCTTACTTCTATTAAAGAGCTTTATTGTAGAGAGTCTTATAAAAAAAAAATATGATCAAACATTTTGAATGGTTGCAATCATTATTTGATTAGTTCGATCGAACACTTTGTATGAAACGAATGTATGATTATAATATTTTGATTATTATCATGATTTATAATGACAAGTTGGTGTTAAAATGCTTTAGATTTACAAAATATTTCTTATAGTACTTAAAGCATCCTGATAGATACAGAAAAATCATATTCTCCTGAGGGATTCGTGTTAATTTCCGGCTGAAAGATATGAAAAATCTAGTCCTACAAAACTTAATTGTTGAATGCTCTATTACACACTCTAAAAACAGTATTTACTGAAAAGTCGCAAGCACTGTATTGTTAATGCAATATATATACGTCATATTGAGAATAATATTCGCTAAATTTTTTTTGTTTCTCTGTGTATAACACTTAATGTGTGTACTTATTAAGTTTTAATGAAAAATCAATGTAATTTAGAATTTCATTAAATATTAACCATAATATAAATTGCATAATTTGTAACCTTGTATATACGGTTTAGTAAATAATAATAATTTTTTATTGATTGGATTCGAGAAATTTTCATTTTATAAAAGTAATTTAAATATTATTTTTAAAAATACCTTCTGGGGATTTCGTATTTTTTTTAATTTCTTAAAGAATTTCAAAGAAATTTCCCTTTAACAAGATTGTAATTTTTACAAGGATTTTATCCTTATGATTTTTAATATTGTACAATAATTTAAAACATCAGTGTCATGAGAATGCGATCAGTTTATTCCGTATTCTGCCTTAAAGTTTCAATTAACAAGTAAAGATTAAAATAATTTCAACCCAGCAATGAATATTGTATGTTTGACAACTACTAACCAGCAGTAAATTTTTAGAAGAGTTGTATTTTCATTGAAGATTATGTTAAGCAAAAAATACAGTATCTACAACCACGAAATTTTCATTTAATCAAATTTCAAATTAAAAATAATCGATATTGGAGTCCCGTCATCGTGTTTGCACTCAATTCATTCAAAAAAATTTTGATATTTTGTTTGATTTTTTTAAAGTTCTGTATCTCTTATATTTTAAATTTGAGTACAATACACTCATAACTTTTTATGCTAAAATAATTTTTCAAAATATAATATGGCACATATGGCACATACGGCAAAGCGGATGATTCAAGCTATATTTCGAATTACAAATCTTGAAAAAAGATGATGAAAAAAAAAAGAATTGTTTTTGTTATAGCCAAAAAGAAATTTAAATTAGAATCATTTTTCTAAAAAAAGACAAGGTGTCCACCTCGTAATATTTGATCTGTTAAATAAAAATGCTTTTAATAATTGCATGGCAAATAGGTGGCATTATAAACTTTAAAACGTATTCTGCGGGTGTATTCTAACCTAATTACCTATTAAAAGATAAAAACTATGTGCTTGATTTAGCATTATAATTAAGAGAACTTCGACTGAAATCGAAATTACCTGAATATATTAATGCTAGGTTTGTTTTTTTTAGTTTTGTAATTAGTGTTCGTTCTTTAATCGAAAAAATCTTAATGCTGGCGATATTTTATTAAGTTAAAATTTCCGAACATTCAATTTTACTCGTTGTATTTGTAATTTCAAAAATTTAAACTTTGTTCCTATCCTTATTATGGTTCTAATAATGGAGATTGTTTCGAATCAGAAAATTTTTTAGTAATTTCACATTTTCTTATTGAAATCTAAAATATTGTGACGCTCGCATTTTACTGACATTTCTGTATACAATCAACAACCTAGGACACTCTCTTGGCTATTATAATCTCTCTTGCTTTTTATTCATTAACACATTGTTATCCATGCAGATATTGTCATATTCTTTTTTTCCTTGTCATTTTCTCTTCATTGAAATATCAAATTGAATCAATAAAGTATTATACAACTTGCACAGGTAAAACAAACTAATAAAAACCAAAAAAAAAACGAATGGACATTTTTTTTTTGTTTTTTAATAAATTTTATCTAAAAATCCTTAAAAAATATGACATCGATTTCATATATGACAAGCATATAAACATATGATAATAAAAGGATGAGAACAATAAGCCAAAAATATAAAATTTTTAATGAAAAACCAAAAAAAAAAAAATATGGGAGAAAATTTGAACATGAAAAGAAAAGACATAAAAGGGAAAATTAAATTTTCCGAGTTTTTAAAATCGAACATGCAAAACCACCATATGGACATTAAAAAAAAAAATGCAAACATAGACAACGAAACATTAAAAAAACTATGGGAAAAGAATAGATACAGAAAGTTGTCGAAAAAAATTTACATGGGAAAAATTTTTGGAAAATTAAAAAAAAAAAAAGTTTGATCAAATCAGGAGCTTTTAAAATAGCACTTTTCTGTTGAACAAGTGTTCAATTGCTCAAGAAACAATCGTGTACTAAAATAAACACATTATGAAAAAATTGCATAGTTTAGGGGGAAATTAGGAAAACTGTTAACAGAATGGTAATATTCAATGGTTAAGTAGGATCGGTTAGGTTAACGCAGCCATCCTAAGGGTACATATACGCCCTTCAGAGTAGTTGTGGCACTGCCGGATCTCTCCTTTTCGGCGCCTCATCCGAACCAACCGGAAATCCTTAGAAATCGGCTAAGATCTCTAATATTTATATCAGCTAGATCCGCAGTGCATCCGAAGAAGTTAGACCCAAGAAATCTCTGCCTGGAGTTCGCCAGTGCCAGACATGAGCGCAGGAGGCGAGTCACCGTTTCCTCCTCTCTCTCGTCGAAGTAGTTCCTACAGAGATCGTTCGCGGGGCAGCCAATCCTTCTCACATGTTCGCCAATCAGACAATGATCCGTCAGAACCCCTATCACAGCACTGATATCCCCCGCCTAAGAGATATCCCCCGTGCGACAGAAGTCTAGCTTTGGCCACTACTTCCTCGTCGCGTTACACGTTGTTCCATTTGCCCATCTGAGATTGGTGCGCTCCACTGCAGCCTTGTGTAGCATGAGCTTATGGGTGCTTGGAGCCATGTCCAGGTTCTCCCTTTCAGGTAGAATCCCGAGGGTTGTACCATGTCTCGTAAGCTCATCTGCCTTACAATTCTCTGGAACAGCACTGTGTCCGGGAACTCAAACCAAGTTTATCTCGAAGTGTCTCGTCATCTCGTTGAGAGACGACCTGCACTTCAAGACCGTTGTGAATGTAGAGACCTCAGATTCCAAAGCCCTTATCGTGCAGATATCACGCTGCCGTCAAGCTAGTGCAGAGCCTCCTGAATCACGACCATCTCTGTCTGAAAGACATTGCAGTGATCCAGTACACGGAAAGAGTGCCGAACAGAATGGACTCCCCCACCTACCCTATTGGCAAGTTTAGATCCATTCGTGTAAAAATGGGCGGCCTCGCCCTCGAGACGGCCTCCGTCCAGAGTCCTACGACTTACCATCTAAGACAAAAAACGACGATCAAAATTTGTAAAAGAGCAAGTTTCAAATAATTATATTTATTATAAACGGCCATTTGAATTGTAATATTTGACTATATTAGTCCCAGATAGGGGAAGTCACTGCTTTTCTGCGCTAAAATATGTTTGTGATTTCGATACAATAAAAGGTCTGGAAATTCTGACACTTCTGAGGGGTTATAACTATTACATGTAAAGGAGATAGCAAAAAAATTTCTTCTTGAAAAATAGAGTTCTCACAAATTTGTATGTTAAAGTGTGAAGAAGTTTTGTAAACTAGGACACAGACGGACAGAGTGAATATAATAAGTACTTTTTTTTTATTTTTGTTGGAAAAATAAAACTAAAGAGGGAAAAGAAATTTGTTTGCTTTTTTTTTGTCTACCGACTGCAACGGTATAATAATAAACTGTAATTTTTTTTTTCGGTATTAGCTAATAAAACAATGAAGCCAGCAGAAATATAAGTTTTAAAATGCTTTTTTAGTATGAAATACTTAAGTTGAAAATTTGCTTTGGTTTTTGGCCTTGTTCATGAAAATGATTTTTTTTTTGTTTTTTGAATAATTTTGAAATGAGGTGGAGAACTTTGGAGTTTTAATTTTTATACTCAATTTAAAATTTTCCATTATTTTCATAGTTCCAATATTAATACCCCATTTTTTAAATTTTGCAGTATTGAGTGTTTGATTTTATAAATTAGTAATATAGACATCGCATGAACGGGTAACTACCTATATTATTCATAAAGTTGCTGTTGCAATAAATGAAGTCAAGAAACTAAAAATGTTTCAAAATAGTTAAGCCTGTTTTTTCCAAATTACTTGATATCGTGACTCTTTTTTATGAATTTCAAGACGTTCGATTTGAATCTTTACTACAACCGATGATATTCTCGAAGTAAGTTGATTATTTAACCTCAGATGAACTAGAAATGATATGAGAGATAAGTTTTTTTGCCTTACCTCTTAAGTAATAGTTAAACCTCAGAAAATATTTCCTTAAAAAGCATTACATAACTCGAAATTGCGGAACAATTTCGAATCTTTTCTATTTATTGGCATTCGTTTGGGTTCAATTTTTCATTATACTTTGAAATTGCGAACATATTTGCTTAACTTGTATATTGAAGTATTATTAAACAGAATTCCAAAACTAAGAACATCTATTCAGACTTCATGCATGATATAATTACTGTTCTCCCTTCATTACGGTCACCGTTCTTCATAACATTTTTTGTAATGAAAGCACGTTCCCCCATATACTTTTGAAAAACGAAAATAGGAAGACCTTTAAAACCTCCAATAGTGAATATGGTAATCATTGTTTAATGAAATTTTTAAATAGCATTAAAATATTTTTAAATTTTTAGCATCTAAGTACCTACTATTCTATACTATTGAGACCAATATTTTTTAACAATGTTAATGATATCAATTTTAAAATAACTATCTTATCTAATATGGTCATCAAAATAAATGAAAATATTTTGGTATTATGCTCGGTATTTAACCTTATTTTCAATATTCTTGTATAACAGTGATTGTTTTCCCATAAACTTAGGCATACATGCAGAAGTTATCAAAAAAAATGCTCATTTTTTCCCAATAATTTTTTAAACCGAGTAATACAAATGCAGTCATTTCATTCGTGACCTTTTTCATTTTTTAACATTTAATTTTTTTTTATCTGCAATAATTAAATATAATTTATTATAAAATATTAATATTGTCCTAAAAACACGAATTTTTTCTGAAGAAAAAGAAGTAGAAGAAGTGAAAAATCAGAGAAAAAAAAAATTCCAATTTAACATTGGAAATTAATGTTAAAACAAAATTTTTTAGTCCTACTTTAGTCATAACGATTAGTAATGAATTCTTTCTCTCCTCTATTATAACATGACATACTTAAGGATTTACTTCTTAACTGTAATAAAGGATACATAATATGTATACTCTTTAATTTTTTATTTCTTATTTTCATTTCTTCATATAAATGTACAATATTTTTTGAGTAACCATAATCCAAAGGATAATAAATGAAAAAAAAAAAATCCATGTACAATATTATGCACGTATGTAAAATGAGAAAATATTGTATAAAAACCAAATTATAATTAACAAAACTAAAAAACAGAAGAAAAAAGAATTTTTACTTTTAAGCTAAAAATGTTAAAACAGGACATGGAAATAATCAGAAATTGCAGTAAATAGGAACAGAATGAAAATGAAATTATAAGGAAAATAATAACCGAAAATCAGGATCATCGCTAGTACAAAAGAATTCATTTTAATTTTTTGGAGTTCACATACACACAAAATAGAAAAATAAAATAAAAAATAAAAGGATAATAAGAAAATTACATAGAGGTAGTTGAATATAGTACAAAAATGTAATTTAGAACAAGGAATGAATATTATGAAGACCGAAAAGAACACAAAAAAAAAAAAAAATGGACACACAGGACCTAATTTAAGGATTTTTTTACGTTAAGGATTTTTCCTATATTTTTTTTCTTACTCCTCTATTCCTTTTTCTTATTGTTATTAATATTCCTTTCACATTACTTTTCATCTCTTTAATCTTTAGTTTTTTCCCAAAAAAAAAAATATGGAAAAATTTTCAATTTTTATTCCTTAACCAAAAAAAGAAAAAAAATTAAAATTTATAATTTCGTAGAATACCGAAATTGAAGAGAAGGATTATTTTATCCTTTTCTCATACATACAAGTTTGGTTTTTTTTTTCTTTATTTGATAATGCAAACGACTATCATACTCTGTTAACTTACATTATAGAGGGTGATTCAGTAATATCAATACTTTCAAATGTGCCATGATTTGAGACTTAATTAAGCTTTCCAAAATTAATTGCACGAAGATTTTACGTTTTTTGGAGCAGAAATTTTAAGGAAACAAATTTGAGGCAAGTAGAAATTTTGTGATAATTTGATAGAAAACCTTTAAAATTTAGTAACTAATTTAATCTACTAGTATATTTTAAGGCACTAATTACTGAATCACCCTGTATAAAAAAGTATACAAAAAAGGACTACATTAAACGAGGATTCTTTTTTTTTCTAAAATTACAAAAAAAGAGAACCAAAGAAAAAAAATAGAAAAAAAAACTAGAATTACGACTAAATTTCATACTTACATTCAACATCTAGGATTATCCTTTTGGACACAGATGGCGGTACACTATTAGTTGCTATACAAAGGTATGCTCCCATTTCATTACGGCTAACTTTAGTTAATGGTAAAACTTCACCATCCCATACTTGAACTGATTTTGAAAAAAAAAAAAAATGAGAACGAGAAAAAAACAAAGAAACAAAAAAAAGGGCATTAGTATGAGAGTACAAAAAACAAAAGTTTTTTTTTTTAAAGAACTCATTTTAAGAATATGAAGTGAGTTTAGAAAAAATTTTATGTAGCTATATATGTATTCATATTTGCTAGTGTGATGGTGTAGGCGGAACAAGATAAAGTAGCATTTAGATCGATCTGAACATAACAATTCATTGGCTCACTTACTTTACCTATTGTTAGCGAAAAATTATCTTAGCTTTCATATGTTTCAGTTTTCAAATCAAATTTAGGGGCTACTTTTCATAGCACTCAGTGTTTGCTCTGAATTAAATGTTAAACAACAAATTAGTGTGTAATTTGCTTTCAGTTTCTGACGTCCCAAACTAAGAGTGACTTTTTCCGGAAGTAAATCACAAAAGTTACTTTTTCCGCTACAACAATGACAAACCTTGCAAAATGAACAAATTTTCATTGATTTTTTGTACTCTCCAACCAGCGAAACGCAGTTATGGTTGAATAATTTGTCGATTTTGAGTGTATAACTGTTGATCTGAGAACCTTATTTCATATCTCACGTCTTTATTCAAAGTGATGAATGAAAAAAAAGTGATTAATTGTCATAGACTCAATATTTTCAAGTGAGATTAAATGTAATATTAAGTGAAAGTTAGCAATATTTTTAAACCAGAATTTCGATCACTTTTCAATATCGTGAGAAAAAATAAGAAAATACAATTGAACACATTAAGCTAAATCTTTTATTACAAAAAAGTCACCCATTGTCTGCAAGGTGGTAAATCTATTCATCTGGATCTAACAACCTGGTCCGAGAGTATTGTGGAATCTGAGATATTCTCGCAGTTTGAGGACATTACATATATCTCACTAAACAAATAATATTTTTCAGTTCTTCAAATAGCAGTCTGAACACAAAAATTACTCACATATTTGAATATTTGAGAAAAAATAAATTCTTTTTAATGAGAGAACAATTATTGCACATCTTATTATTTATTCTCTTATATCATTATAAACTCTACATGCTGTTACCTAAGTATAACTCTTATTTTATGTGATAAATTAAAAAAATTTCATTTTGTGTATTACAAAACTTAATTTTACAAACTTTATTAGAAATAACAGAATTTAGAAATAACAAACTATTATATTGGCATTGAATTTCTACACTACACTCGAAAATCTCTCCAAAAATTAAAACCACAATTATTTAAATAACAACATTTTATATGTATAAAATTTTCAATATTCTTATTCTCCTCAGAAATTCCATTAAATTGAGTTCAACTAAAAATTTTTTTTATAATACTATAAAATTAAAAATATTTCTCCACATTTTATATACCATTATGATTTATTTTTTACTTTAAGAAGACCACATTCTACTATGATTTATTTTTGTATAATATTTGGAACACATGAAAACAAAATTTTTATGTAAAAGGATATGGCTAACATTTTATAAAAAAAAAATGTGAAATTTAGCGAAAAAAATATCATAGTTTTTTCATAGTAGAAACCAGAAGTAGAGTAAAATAAATATAAAAAGTTTCTGTGGAAAATATTAAAGATTTATAAACCATAGCCAACCATCATATGGTTAGTCAATGATGAAGAGAATATTTTTTATACAAAAAAAAACAAAAATTTTTATTTTAAGTATTTAAGGTATACCTATTTTTATGAAATTTAGTTTTATATTTTTGGTTGAGAACCCGCAACTAAAAAAAAAAAAATAATAATATAGAGAATAAAATTTAGAAGAAGAAGAAAATATATCAAGAGAGAAATTATGACCTTTCAAGTTCTATTTTTACTCTTTTTTCCTCATATTTTCCCACAAAAGTAATGAAGAAGTAAGAAGGAAAAAAAATGAAAAAGGACTTCACCTTTTATGATGCATCTATCATAATTCTGTTGATGTAATGGTCAAAAGTATTAAAAAGAGTTTATGTTACGTTTACAAAAGGTAAATGAATGTGTAAGTGTAGAGCAAAAAAAAATATAAGAAATTTGAAATTTTTTTTTTTCAAAACTTTTCTCTTTATTCACATATTTTTGCTCGGTTTTGTTCGTTCTTTCTTTTTATTTTTCATATATGTTGTAAGTGGGATTAAGACAGGATTTATGTCCTAAAAGTGATATTAAGTTTTGTATTTTTTTTTGTTTCTCTGTATGTTCATTATATTTTTAAAAATAAATTTTTTTTTGTTTTTCCCTAAAAATTGAGATTTTTTGTACTACTCTCCGTCATCCCCTCTCTACCGCACTTTTTATGATTTTATAATATAAAAAAGAAAAAAATTTGAAGTATATATTGTGTGTGTACGTTCAAGGATTCCTTTCGATTATCTAAAGTATATTCATATATACTGTTATGTTATAGTGTTATACCATTTTATATATACGATATTATAATGTTATATTGTATAGATGGTTTTAAAATAGAGTTAAGTTTTCTAAATAGTAAAAAGACCTGTACAGAAGGATTTAAAAAAAAATGAATGGAATAAAAAAAAAATTTTTTTTTTTTGCAAATTCAAAATTTTTTTACAAGTTTTGTGTAAGTATTAGATAAAAAATAAAAAAAAAATTTTATTCCAATTTTATATTATAACAATAATAAAAGTGTGGTGAATAAAATTTAAGAAATTGTTCTATCATTTAAAATTATTTTTTTATTTTGAAATTTATTCTTATAATTTTTGTGTGAGTATTATGTGGATTAAATTCTTGTAAGTTGTAATATAATATTAAATAAAATATTTTGTAATTTTAATGTTATAGCAATTTGGTATTCTTATCCAGAGTAAAAATAATAATACTTTTATTTTTTTTTTTCATATTAAATGACAAGAAAATGATAAATTATAAGTTTTTAGAGTTTTTTATTATTGTATTTAGTGAATTTCATCAAAATATTGAAGTCTCCAAAAAAGTCTCCACTCTCCAAAATAAGTCTCCACTGTTCAAAAAAGTCTCTACTACTTTGAAAAATCATAAACACATAATTTAAAAGATTTTCTTAAAAATTTTATAATTATAAAACAATATTTTGAATTATTAGAAAACAATATTAACAATATTTTAGGTAAAATCTTGTTTTTTTTTTATGTTGTACTGAAATTTACTATTAAATTTAATATTAAGCCTTTTATTACTGTTTTTATTTTCGAATATTAGATTTGAATAATTAAGGATCCTTTTACCAATTTTTTTTACACGATGTTCACAATTTTATAGCTATATTGACAGAGAGGTATATATTTTAAAAGGATGTTGATTTTATTTTCAAAAAAAAAAAAAGAATTGTATTAATAAAATTTCCACGAATATATCGACATTTCATGAAATTATTCATCATTTATAATTATTCGTGCAAATGTATGTCTCTACCGACTCTAGTATTAAAGTGAAGAAAGAGAAGTAAATATAGATTTTAATATTTAAATTTTTATCAGCTATGCTTTAAAAATTTTGATATTTTTAGATAAATATAAAAGTGCTTTGCTCTTTTTAATTTTAAAATAAAAAAAAATATTTAACCCTATTTTCTTGATTGACATTTTTAATTATTGTACAATGATTTATTTTATAATATCGTAAAGCAAGTACGACTTTCTGTTCTGACACAAGTAAATTTTCTTAAATAACAAATACAAAAAAAATAGAAATTTTAAATTTAAACTTAAAAGAAAGTGAGATTAAAGTGAATGACATTTTTGATTTAAATAAGGTCAATGATTTTTTTTTTTTCGTTGAATTGGAAATTACAGAAGAGGAAAAAAAAATTAGTCAGAAAACACTTTCACTCTATCTATACCACCTGCTCAAATATTATAGTGGGGATAAAATTTTATTTGTATACAGGTATACCAAAAATATGAATTTTTTTCAGTGTTCGTTCTTTTGCACATCGTAGAGAAATTACGATAAAATGACGGGGTTTTGTGCGACACAATGGACTTTAAAAAAAAATTATATGAATGTTATTACAAGAAAATCCAACATCAATTTAATATGCACTAGAAATATACAAGAGGACCATTGGAATATAGAAACGTTTTTTAAGCGTTTTTTTTTTTATTATTTTTCCCATTTCATTTCGTTTTAAGGTTGACGTGGAGCGGATTTTTTTTTTATTCTTGTCTTTTTGACAGATCCTTTTTCATCTACAATACAAAAATAAACACAAAAAAGAAAAAAATGATCCTATTTTAAAAATAGGATTACTATATATGAAATTTTATCCTTAAGTATTAAGTTTAGTAAGATAAATTTCTATTGCATAATAATAACGCACAACATTCTTGTTAAACTGTCTATTTGTTAAGTTTAAAAGCAGGTCTTTTACTCATCAAAAATATTTTAATATTGTAAAACTAGAGAAAAAAAATTGTCAGTGGGGAGTGGGAAGGCATAATTTAAATTTTTCTTTTATTTTATTACCTTTTGATTTTTTCTTTTTATCAACATCAATTCCTTCACCATCTTCCCGTCGCCATATAATTCTTGGCTTTGGAAAACCATCTGCTCTACATGTCATATTAATACTAAGATTTTCTCTAACAGCTACTGATGATGGGGTACTTTCCATATCTAAAATATTTGGTGGCACTGTAAAACAAAATATACAAATATTATAATGTTATAATGTTAAATTTGCAGAAAAGATAAAAATGTATAAAAGAGAATGGGAGGTTAAACAAGAGCGTCACCTGAGAGTAGTTTGTCTGAGAGTAGTCAAAACTGTAATTATTATCAAAGAGCATTGTCATATAGGTTATTAGATTTGAAGTAAAACTCATTCAGAATATAATCGAAGGCTCCTGAACTAATCAACAATTAGTTTTAAAATATTATTTTTCTTAATTCATTATAATAGTGCCAAGTGCGACAAAAAACTATTTTCATGTCATATTTTTAACTTCAAACTATTTATTTTTAAAACAGCACGTGTTTGCATATTCTTACTTATTTATATTCAATACGAGAGGCAGATTGAGTGCGCACAGATTTAATTTCCCTTGAATCTTTTAATAAGGATAATATTTGTTGTATTTTTTGCTGTTACCTCTTCCTAATTTTAAATTTTAATTTTATTTACTTTTATGACTAGTCAAAATTTCATTAAAAATAACGTGGTCAAATTATTTTGTAATTTATTGGTTTTTACCTTGAATTTTCTCTTCATATTTTGTTTTAGTTAATATGAATTTAATGTTAAAATGGAAATTTTTTAATGAAATTTTATTAAAATTTTTGGCGAAGTAGTCTCAGATATCGTCAAATTCATTTCAAGGATAAAAAAGAAAATGAAGTTTATGGATAAATGAAAAATTTAAATTATGATTTTTCTGTATTACTAATAGATTTGGAGGTCAGACAGTTTAGGCATAAATATTATAACTCTAACTACTTAAATATTCATAAAGAAGTCATAATTGTTAGAGATTTCGACAACATTGTAGGAAAACAGATGATATGTCATACAAAGGGCACACATAGGAATATGGAATAATTTTTGAATACACAAAAGATATGACCCTGGAGCCTTTCGAATAACGAACTCTACTGAAATTACAACAAACTATAGTAGAACGCGAAGCTGAAGAGCATTTACCAGCACCATTTTGTAATACACAGGAAAATGTGCCCTGGAATCTTACAAATAATGAGCTATGAAAGAATTAAAACACACTAAGAGAAGATGAAACTTAACAGCACTTGCCATGTATTTGGCAGAAAAAGAAGACAATCTTTAATGCTGATTAAAGCTATAGTATTGAAAATCATGAACCTATGATTTGAGCTTTGTTTTCTGCCAAGTTAAAAAAACATCGCCTTAAACTGAGCCAGCAACTTATATTTTCAATTCTTACTTAATTATTTGCCAGTTGCTGTCACTTATCCTTTCATATTTCCTTATGATAATAATTTTCTTTCTTTATTAAAAATTGTGTTATTGAACAAATTTAATTGTTTTTCAAACTATTTTTTCATAGTATAAATTGAAAAGGAAAAACAGAAATTTATTATTTATTTAATATGACAGTAAAATATGTCACCTGCAATGCAAGTTATCTATGGAATAATTTAAAAAAAAAATAAATAAATTTATGATTAAAATAATTTGATCACGTTTGTATAGAGAAATATAAATTTGGAATTTTAAAATATTTGACAATGTGACAATGGCTACAAGAGAAATTCAGGTAAAACCACAATATTATACCCATATTTATGTGTAGATTTAAAGAAGACTCAAATATTTGGTTGCCATTACTTTTATTTTAATATTCATGAATTTCGAGTAATTCTGAAAGATTTCATTATGGCTAGTTTGTATTCTATACCCTAAATTTATTGAGAATTTAGGCGTCTGAATGTTAACTGCTTCAAGAGAATTGAATTTTCACTATAGTTTAGACTCCCTGTTCGGAATTGTCTTAAATAAATCGGCTCTGAACTGTGTATCGGGTGATGGTTTCCTAGTTTCGAATAATTCTTTTAAGAAATTAATCTAAATTGAAGAATATCAAATTCAGTTGCCTCAAATAACCGCACCATATCAATTCTACGAAAAGAGAGTAAATATCTTGGCTTTATTTATAGTGTTGGTATGGTCTTGGCTTCATTTATAGAGTTGGTATGGTAATCATCTACTATAGATGATGGATTGAATCGCAGCCGAATGTATGAAATTATCCGACCATAGAGATTTTAAATAAAAATTTCAAATGGAATTGCTAGTTTTGAAATTAGCGGAAAATTCGACTTTTCTAAAAACATTCGATGACAATCATTAAAACTGTGATAGTCAAAAAGTTCTATATCTAGTTATTTTTGACATACACACAAACAAGAATGAAAATTCTTTTATTTCATACAAATATACATAAGTGCATGTGTATATGTGATTATCTTCTCCAGAATGTAATAGACAAATACTAGAAATATACAAGCAGTCATGAGAAGAGGATAAAATAATGTAGAAACAAAAGAACCTAGTAAAAAAATATAAAAAACAAAAATAAAAAAGGATAATCCTGAAAATGTTAAATATTAAATCGTTACTTATGACAGATGTCAAGTAAAATAATGGAAAGGAAAAAATTTTTTAGTTTTATGATAGAATTTTAAAATTTTCTATTTCTATTTTTATAAGTCTTTGGTATAAAACTAAACGTGAGGAACTATAAGGATTTTAATAAAAAAAAAAATATATGAAAGGACACCAGATGATGTTAAAATACGCGTTTTATTTGACTTTCTTATGATTTTGTTGAAGTAAACGAAAATGTTCCAAATTTTACTAAAAAAAAAAAATTTTGTTCAGAAATCCAAAAAAAGTTGGAGTTTTTTTTTTCTTTTGTTTTACATTTCATGTCATTCCAGCTCGACTTTTTCTATATTCAATAAATTTTTTAATATTATTCCATTCACCGTTCCTAAAATGCACTATTTAAATGTATATATGTACATAAGACCTTTGTTTTCAGGTACAATATTGCTCCCTGAATATAAAATAATTTTAAATTCAAAATATTTAGAATTCAGAAAGTCGAGGAACGGAGGGGGATTGGAAACAAAATAAAAAAATTATTGTAGATAATAAAATTTGTTGAATTAACAATGAAAGTATTCAAAAAATATAAAAAAATTGAAAATTGAAAAATTTTACCAACAACTTGAAGATATCCAACTGTGCTAATCATTGGATTTGTATTTACTTGACACATATAATATCCTCGATCCTCCTGTTGTACTTGATTTACATGCAATAGCCATGTATTTGCATTATCATATGTTATACTATAACGTGGTATCCTTGATATAACATGACGATGTATTGTTAAAATCATTTGTCTATCAATATGAATCCATGCAACCTGTAAAATAAGTAAAAAGAGAAAAATGAACAAGAAAAAAAATTATAATATAAAAATTAATTTTTTTTTGTTTTATGATTTGTAAATAAAGAAGTTCATCATAAATGTATGCATATGGAATATCGAATGTCTGTATGTTTGTAGAATCCTGGAGACGATCAAAAGTATAACAATTTTATGTAAATACTTTTAAAGTAATATAATTGAAAAGGGTGACTGAAAATGAAAGTTTTAGTCACCCTTTATAGAATTTTTCTTTTGTGCACCAAGTCACACAATACGCATTTTTTAAAATCAAAAGATTTTTTATTTGAATCAAAAATATTTTTTCTTAAATCAAATGAATGGTTTTTAAATTAAATAATTCCACTTTTAATAATACAAAATATTCGTAATATTGAAATGTGTAAATTGAAAGTTTAAATTCTCTAGTTTAAAAAATCTTCGATAACCATTACATTATCGGGAATAGGTCGCCTCTTATTCAAAAGATTAAGAAATTCAATTCTTTTAAATAATCTATATGTGCAAAACTTTTACCCTTCGCATATTAAGTAGACCTTTTATCGTTCGTATACAGACAGTGTCTACTCTCTTTTTCCTACTAGGAATAAAGGCTACAAATAGTTTCGCAAAAATTCGGCCGTACATTTTTACATACGCAAAGGATTCGTGTAGATTTTTTTTAAAACAACCAATAAGTATTTTTTTTTATTATTCTTATTCGCAAAAGCAAAGGGTATATTCACTTTGGTATGGAGTTTGTAAGCCCATGAAGGAGTCGTTTCCGGTACGGACATTTATATATTCGTGCTCAACGTAAAATTCTGTGTTGATTTAGATATGTCCGTCCGACTGCAAGATAACTCAAAAATAAATAATGAAATCGACGACAAAATTTTATAAGCTGTTTCTTTTCGGGCAAAGATGGCTCATATCTCATAGAGACATTAATATCAAATTTTGCGAAACTATGTGTTCTTAAAATGCTAATGGAATGGCATGACTGGTTTAGATAGCTACCACACTTATAGGCCAAACATATTCATAAGTTTCTATATGGAGTGGTTTAATAGGCTCCAGTAATTGGTATACAATAGTAATTGGAAACGTTTTTACTTGTTTAAATATTAATTGCTTTTGAGTCATCATTTTAAACTATTGCATTGTTAATTCTGTATAATTATTCACCTTTGTCAATAAAATCATTCCCGATAATCAGAAATATGAAACCACTTGTACAAATTATTTTTATTGGTCTCGTACAATTTGAATAAAATAATAAATTTATACTATATGGTATAAAATGAATAAAGTGAAAAGATTTTGACATAAAAATTAATTTACAAAATAAAAAAATTTTTTTTTTTCAATAAAAACTAACACTAAAGAGGATTCAATAATCGTCCTTTTACAAATTGAATTAGAATGTATAAATTACATTTTTAAGCTGCGGGAGAAATACAAATTTGAATATAGAGGGAGATTTATGTAATTATGTCAAATTATTACAATACCCATTCAAAATTTTCGTTTTATATGCACATTTTGTATGTAAATTGTAAAATGGTAAAAAAATCAAAAAAAAAAAAAAAAAATCGATTATATTTGTCATTGATATTATAAGGGAGTTGAAATTTTACTGTTTTATTATCCAGCGAGAAATAGAATAGGGGTATTGTTTAAAATAATGAAAAATATATAGGGAGTTCATATTTCATATTCAGGATTTTCATTGATTTTCATTGTATATGCAAATATTTTTGGTGGCTATCTGGAATAAATCGATTCTTTCCATTCAATATTGTGTCTTTTAGCAAATAATATGGTCAGATTTTTAGAATTTAGTATGGAAATTTGTTAAGATTTTAATTAAGATTGGTTTTCTTGCAGATTTTTGAATAAAAATTATAAAAACATTTTTATTTTATCTACTCCAATCTCTACAACAGGATTACATTAAAATGTTGGCAATGCCATTGATTTTCCGCACAATTCATATTCTATACATTCCAAAAATTTAGAATAAATTTTTCCATAGTTTTTTAGCACTTTTCCAAAAAATTTTTTGAAAAAAGTGCTTATTAGTTTCACTCTGTCCGTCCGTCCGTCCGTCCGTCCGTCCGTCCGTGGACACTTTTTTTGTTTACAAAACTTCTACACCCTTTAAGATAGAAAGCTGAAATTTCATACGTACATAGATCTTCACTAGAAACTTATTACCGTAGAACAAAATTTTTACCTATCTCCCCCCGTCTAGAAGTTATACCCCCCCAAAACCCTAAAAATGGCCTTTTTTAAATATTTGTTACAATGAAACCATAAGCATTTTTGAAATTTTGCAAACGCAGAAAGGCAGTGGCTTGCTTCCCCTAGCGCGATATACTATAGTTAAACTTTAGAAAAACAAAATGGCCGTTCAAATTTACCGTTATCTAAAGTCCTTTTTTTTCCAAATTTTTGATGTCATTTTTCTTCTAGACCCCAGCCTGTAGAAGCTTGAAATTTTAGGAGCTTTTAGACATTAACAAATAGTTCATTTCGTTAGAAGAAAATTTTTTTCCATCTCCACCCCCTCTCAAGTTATCACCTCTTGAAATTCGTAAAATTTGAATTTTTGACACCTTATATTTCCGAAACCGCTAGCTTTTCCAAATTTTTATAAACGCAAAAAGCTAACGGTAAATTCCATGAAATTAAAAAATATAATTATTTTTCTTAACTCACACAATTAACCCTTAAAATCGAGCATTATGTTAACCCCTTTTTATATTAATTTTTGCTTCATTTCAAAGACTGCATATATGCGTCATCCTAAATATATGTAATCCTAGAAATAGTTTTGTATATGAATGAAAATAATTTTAATAGTGTGATAGCTATACATAGACTGTATTTAAAAGCAGAATTTTCACTTGTTGAAGGGAAAAGTGCTATAATACAAACCATTGGTTTGACCCAACTTTATTTATAAAATTTTTTCTAATGGTATTCGGGTAATGATAATTTTCGAATCATGAATTTGAATAATTTTCTAAAATCTATTTTTATAAAAAGGGAGGAATTCTTTAAATAAATTTTAAAAATTTTTATATTCACGTTTTCGAAAATGCATCAAACTGTTCATAGTATTCTAGACACGTTTTTATGTACAATAATTTTAACAAGAAAAAAAAAAATGGTAAATTTTAACTTTTACTTTGCAATATTCTTATGAAATAAATCGACTTTTATTTGGTTGGCTACTGACATGTTACTTGACTTGAATTTGATTTTTCTTTTTTTAAATAAATTTAGAGTAAAATTGGTGAGAAGTAAAAATTTATTATTGCTAAAGAAGCAGATGCTCAATATACTGTATGTTAAAGATGGAAAAAGACAATACATTGGAAAAAGAACAAAGAAAATCTGATGTGGCCAACCCTTAATCGACAGTATTCACTATTTGTGGCATTAAACACAACATTGAAATTCATTCTGGGGTTCAGCTTTCATTGTGGACCTTTGGAGGTCTGCTGAAGATGTCAGGATATCGTGGTGATGGAGGATGTGCATCAGGTTCTCTACAAACATTGCTTGATGGAAAGGAAGAGACACGTACTGGCTCAATTTTTCTTTTTTGAACTATTTTAAAATAATCCGGTTTTTCTGGGTTCCGGTGATTGTTTTTGCCAATTGGTCGTCGAAATCTAGGAACATCAATAAATCTTATTTTTGTTCTAGTGTTTGTTGCCATGAAAAAAGCTAATAAATCATTGCGACACCCTTTCGCTATCAGTTGATTATTAAATCTACTGAATACTATGATAGAAATACTGTAACTGAAACCTTGCTTGTCTTAAATCAATCAATCATCACATATTTGTTTATCAAACCACTACAATATCAAAAATTAATTCAGGCATAAATATTTCATGTGGTTCAGTTGAACTTCTTAGAGTACTCAGGGGCACAGATTGTCAAACATCCCACAAAAAATGATTTTTTCTCTGATGCTTGGTATGAAAACAATACCTCCAATATTGTTTACAAGATGGATCGGTATAAATGCAATATTCTATGAATTTTTTTTTACAAAATATGTAAAAAAATTTTTCCAAACCAATAATATTAAAATTTAAAAAGAGTTACTTGCTTAATTTCTTGAAAAATTCAATATTGTGTAACAAGAATTCAAGGTATATTGTAAAGCTTTACTTGCAACATTTTATAGTTTAACATTGTTCTTTTGAGTATTAATTTTGAGGAACTAGTAAATGTCTGTACAAACTATTTTCATACAAGATGTAACATTTGTTTTCTTAGTGCAATCTTGATGGAAAACTGGAATAAAAACATGGAGTTGAAGGGTTTTTTGTACAATCTTATTCCCATAAACTAATATTAATACAATCTTATACTTAACAGTATTCTTTCTCGGAAATTATTAAGTTCGGCCTTAAATTTTAAACGAGCAACTTCTGCAATATAGTCAACATTATGTACAAATTTGTATTCTTGGATTAAATGCCTAATAAATTCAATGATAATTCAATTATATGTGAGAGAACATTCAAACTGAAGTTGATACTATTTGTATTCATAAGAGAACTTTTACGATACTCACAGATTCAAACGTATTGTTAAAGCAGAATTCACGAGAGCAATCCTATACTTTTCTCTCCGTTGCCTTTTAAAAGAAATTTTACAATGCTTTGATTAGATTTTCAAAATTTATGTTTCGATTTAGTACAGAAAACTTCCAAAGCATACCCAATTGCTTGTGACTAAATGGACAACTTAAAGTCATGCGATGTTAATCAGTGATAAATTTTTGTATTAATTAGTAGGCAGCGGGTTCTTTAAAATTGTGGACTTGAACAGTTATAAAGTGAAATCAAAAGCTTTGAACCTTACGAGTGGAATGAATAATCTTAACCATGAAGGTGGTGGTTCTAAATTTTTTAATAAAACCTTAAGATCTTATTGTCATCGTCTACCTGGAACACTTTGTTTAGATA